GGATTTCGTACTTAATAAGTCCAAACTATTATCACGTGATTGTTTTCTATAAGTAATGTCTTTTATGTGCTTCCAGAGAGATTTAGTTGATTTAGTTGATATTGCTAGAAGTTTCCTTTCATATTCTCGCTTAAGTTTTTTAATCAATTTAGTAACATAGTTGCGATACCTTTTATATGTAATTTTTAATACTTCATTATAAGGATCCGATCTTAGCTTTTTTTGCATACAATTCCTATTTCGTATACATTTTAAAATACCTGTAGTTATCCATGGTTTAATTTGTCGCTTCTTACTAGGAATATTTACTATTTTTGTATTTTCTTCAATTGATTCTCTTATTTTATAAATTAATTGATATATGATATAGTCTGGATTATCACTAAAAAGAAGATGCGATAGGTTTTTTTGAGCTAGACTGGCAAGTGCTTTATGAAAGTCAGTGTTATATTTAATTTTAACATTAATTGCGTTTTGTTTAATATTACTTAATTTTAGTAATATCATAGCATGATCTGTGATAGTAGTATTTAATACAGCAATCTGAGCAAAAATAGTTTGTTGATTTAATTTTAGTATAAAATGATCCAAGCAGCTATATATATATATATATATATATATATATATATATATATATATATATATATATAATATATAGAAATCGTCTGTAGTTCTTCAAGAGAGCGTTGTCACCTTTCTTGAAGAACAAGACCACCGCACTTCTACTCCACGCCTCCAGAGTAGTTCCTCCATGAAGGACGGAATAAAAGAGCTTCTGAAGGAATTTAAGTACCGGTTTTCTACTCAATTTCAATTGTTCTATTATTGTGCATACGCACAGTCCAGTAAATCATACTAACGCTTTTTAATATTTCATGTGACAGGAATAATACTTTAAAAAATAAAATTTTACTAGTTTTTACACAACCCTGAGTTTGAGCACTTGCCGATCCGGTTTAAAGCAATTCTCTCTGTACGTGACGAGCCGCCAGTGCTCATGCAGACACGCGCTTCATATTTTTAGTAGTTTAATTATCATAGCGCGGTTCTATGAAGCTTTGCCTCTGTACGGTAAGGTTTCTTTACTCAAGCTCATGTGGCTCTAGCGACTAAGGGTAACTGCTTTGAAATACAATTGCAAGATTTGACAAAAAAATTGCCATTTATTTTTACCTATAACACTTATTTTATTTTTGCATCTATTGACGTGTGCTGGAGACGTGGTCCCGTGGATGTCTTAAGAGGTGACTATGGGATAATAATCCATTAGCACGACATGCCCTTAAACTCTTTGAATCTGTGTCATGAATTTTCGTATCGTGCAAAATGAGTATGTGACCACTGCTCTAAAAAAAGGTCTCAGAACAATAACTAAAGCATATAAAGTTTGATAAAAGGTGTTTGGAATGACCGGTCCTTCCTTTCCTTTGGCCTGAATGTCAACTCACAGCTCTCAGGCAAAGAGTAGGTATATTACAGTAACTACGTTTTAGTGCTCTATTGTTAAGGTATCTTTATTTTTTTATGAGGTTTGAATTTTTTTAACACGTTTCCTACGTGAAAGAACTGGTTTTCAGCCTGCAACAATGACGCACGGTGCACTTTGCTATTTTTACTTATAAATATGTGTACATAATAATAACCATGTGAATACCTCGGATCCTAAATTTTATAAATAATTCATTAATACTAAATTATTAAGGTCATCATACTCGTATATCACTCACTGACTCGCCCATCAAAAACTTTGACGACTTTTATGTTACAAATAAACCAATTTTTCAAGTTTTCAAGTTCTAATTTTAAGAAATTTGGTAAAACAATGTGTTAACAAATATGTTGGGGCGGTTAATTCTAAGTATAGTAATTTCAACTACAGTATTTTGAACTAACCGCGCCCAAAACTTTAACAACACTATAAAATACAACATTAAAGAAGCAAAACCATTGAAGATCATGTATTTATTTAGATTAATAAAACTGTTAATTTTTTTTTCATAAATTATAATATCTATTACGATTTATGATTGCATAAATCATATGATATACGGAAGGAATATACAATGTTATTAGAACTGCTATGAAGCTTGGTGCCTTTTCAGACCTTAACTCCTTTATTGGCAAAGGCGAGAACATAGAACGTCGTTTGTACCGCATAGATGTGGTCCCCACCTCACATCTATGCTTTGTTGGAATAACAAATTACTTTATTGCTTTTATTGGAAAATCTAATAAGCTTGCAGTAAACATTAATTTAACAATATTAAATTTTTTATAGTATAAGGATACAAATGAGCACACAGTCCACCTGATGGTAAGTGGTTGCTGTGGCCCATAGACATCTACATCTATCTTCGTTTGCGAATTAAAATGCAGATGCGTTGTCAACCGTGAGGACTAAGATAGAATGCCTCTTTTCCAGTAAAAAGGGTCTCCGGTTCTCTACACTCACCATACGAAACACAGCAGCATGAAGCTACTATTTTACGCTGGTATTCTGTGAGAGCCTGGTCCTTCCCCGGTCGAGCCGACCCATTCGTGCTACAACTATACTATTATTATAGCTGCAGCATGTCTTTACCACGTATAAAAAAATCATAATCATCATCATCATTACAACCTTTCACACGTCCACTGCTGAATATAGGCCTCCAAAAGATTGCCACAAAGCACGTTACTGTGCCACATGCATCCATGGACTGCTTACATGTCTTACCAGGTCGTCATTACATCTAGTGACAGGCTGTTCTACATATCGCCTACCGGTACGAGGCTGCCACTCGCGAACCTTGCTTTCTCATGGGTTGTCGCTTCTTTGAGCTATATTGTCAACCCATTGCTTACTAATTCGTTGGGCTATATCGGTTACTCAGGTGCTACTGCGGATCATTTCTAAGTTTATCACGCAGGAAAATTCCGAAAATATCCATTTCCATAGCTCGTTGAGCGACCTTGAGCTTTCTCATAAGGAAATCAGATACATAAGTCATCACTGTCAGCATGCACTGCTTTCAGAATCTTGTTTTCAAGTTTTGAGGTATACCTGACGAGAAGATGTACCGTAATCTCCCGTACGCTGCCCAGCCGAGATGTATTCGTTAATTAACTGTTTAAAGTTTAAAATTAACTGAGATGTTTAACGTCCCAATGTCATAGGTAGCCCGTCAGGTATTAAAAGTAAGTAAATTAAACGTGATAAATACATATACAAATTAAAACTAAATCCGTAAAAATAGTTTAATTCAATGTGTAGTGTTCGCGTAAATATAAGAAATCATTAGCTTCTGAACGACTTCAAGTACTAGTTTCCCACCCGCTTTCAGAGGATTCGCTGTAATTCCATCATCGCCCGGGGCCTTGGCGTTTTTAAGGTGCCGGAGAGCCATTCTAATATCACTTAGACTGACGTCCGGGATGTCATCGGAATAGTGGCGGATAAGAATTGCTCTTGGGTTGTTACTCGAACTTGCGTGTGGCCACAACGTTAATGTGTACAGCTGCCCATAGAACCTATTAATCTCACTCAAAATCTCCACTGTCCCTGAAACAATTCTGCCAAATTCGGTGTTCAGCTTTGACAGATCTCTGGCAAATACTTTGGAGCAACGGTTCCACTCGACCGCTTCTTTTTTACGAGCTGTACTGAGTTTGTTCAAATGCCTGTATGCTGTCAAATCTGCTAAAGACTGCAGCTTAATTTTCCAACTAATAGTCATAAGACTAAGAGTGTGATCAGAGAGATTTTGTGGTCTTCTACTACGGGTCTTGCAAAACTTAGCTCTGACCGCATGGACAGTTTTCACGAGTTTGTCATTCATGTCCCCCACTTCTAGGCAATGAAAACTATTTTTTAACTCAAGCTTTAAGTTTTCGTGGCTTTCGATTAGAGCACCAGGGGAACGGAGCATTGACTTCATTAGACGTGACCTTCCAACTTAACGTTTAGTTTCAGTGTGCCTTTCACCATTCGGTGATGGCTGCCAATTTTCACCATCCATTACCATCTAACACAGACAAACAGTTCATTGTGACGATTAGACGGCAGTCGTCATAATGAAATCAACCCCATTTTTGTCGAATCGTCGTGGCTCGTCCAGATCCACTTACTGTAGGTCGCTTCTGGAAGAAAGAGTTCATAATAAGGTCTCCCTGAATTCAGCCAGCTGCTGGCCTCTTGGGTTCCCTTGCCGTATCTTGGATTTCTCTACCTTCAGTTCACTCCTATCTCTTGTGGGTACAACGTATAGTGGATTTTGGAGGAATGCATGGCTCTAGAGATATACTCATACATTTCTTCCACCGGGATGTGCCGAGGTTGGAGTATTAACTAATTATTATGATATTAGTTAAAAAATTAACTAATATCGTTAATATAATGAATTTCCGCAAAGTAATGCCTGATCTTATTAATTATCAAACATTTTATTTCCGTGTAATAAACGAATAAAATTGAATATAAATTATCAAAGAAATCGTGAAAAACATGTGCTCTTAACGATTTCTCACTCAACCTTTTAACAACTTCAATATGGTACCGCTTATCTGTTTTTATACAAATTTACTCTCTAAAAGAGCAGAAAAAGGGACTACTTTTGTATAATAGACGTGCTGGGGTAGTTAAGATTATACTTTCCGTAAATATATTTCGAGATATTTGTAGACTATAAAAAGGGAGGTAGTAGTTTTCTCTATTATGTTTTTAAAGCAATGGAAGCTCAGGCGATAAGCGCTACCCTTAAAACTTCCTTCCATAAAACTTAAGGGCACATTGAGGAAGGGATATATTTTGAAGAAACCTGCATATCTGATATAATTGACTTATTCCTAACAATCCATCAAGTGCACTGCTGAATATAGTCCTCCCCATTAGATTGCCTATGCGAAGCCTGTTAGCGTTTCCGTCTGGCACATATATTATGTGTCATCTATCGGAGGGCAAAGTGATAAGTTCTCTTACTACCCATCAAATGTCAAAAGATACAAAAAATAAAATCAATGCTATAGATGAAAATAAATTTATTTAATTATATATTTTGGGTAAGTACATTTTTCCACGGTACTTTTATGGTTTTCTTAATAAGGAAAAACCGCCTTAGTGTTGAGGCGATATACACCGGTCCTGGAAATAAAATGTTATTGAACATATTATATGTTTTAATCCATTTACCGTGTAATTTGAAATCAATTACACTTTAGGCGCTTCATTATATATTTTTAATATATAATAAATAATTTAATATATATTTTTAAACAAATATGTGCCCATTATAATGGAGATCTCCTAAAACTCCTAAAACCTCTAAAATCCTGATAAATCCCACTCATAAATGAGAGGAGTCCTATGACCAGCAGTGGGCGACAGTGGGGACGTATATAGGCTGTAACTTTAAAATGGAGATCGCTAATCTTATTGAGTATTCATCTCTTCAGTTTGAAGTCGTATCGTGACAAAGTGAAAACTGAATTTTTTATTCATGAAGGTACTGAAGTAAACTGAAATTCCACAAATTATGACTGGATCCTCATGCTGCAAGGTATTTTTATGCAAACAAAACATACTTTTTAACTAAAAATTAAAAAAATAAAAAGATAATTATTTATTTACAACACAACATGCAATGCTACAGCTATACAAAATAATATACAAAATAAAATATAATATAACAAAAATATTGAACAAGGTAAAAAAAAAACATCAAAACATTACGAGTAATTAAAATAAATATTTCAACTCATGCAATGAAAGCGGAGGCAGATTTACGTACAAGCATGTGGTGATGTATTTAACACAACTAAAGACGGAAGCTAATGATTGCAGTTTTTTGTGCAAAAGCTGAAGTAGTGGTTCTCCAAGTGCCAACCTCACCTGCTCGCAGTGCACCCCAATAAGATACCAATGAGGCTCTTCCAACCGACAAATAACTGTATTATTTTTTTTCTTCTTCATCAGACAGGAGAAGTCTACAGCTGAATATGGTCCTCTCTCGTGCTTGGGAGGACTTGTCTTAAACGTCACGCTTGGCAGACGGCATTGCAGCAAAAGACATATCGTACCTTTAATGCTGTTGCCCATCGCCAGTTTGAATACTTACCTTTATATCCGATGCCATTACATTTTTCTGACATTTCCTATAGTAGCATTTTAAGACAACCACGGAATGAAGTAGGGTGATGGATACTATACCAAAATCACGTAGGAAGGATTTACTGTAATAGCCACGCTTCGTAGGCCGTCAATTCCAGTACTAGTAGTCTCGGTCTGGATATACTACACCTGGAGTAAGCGATGGTTATCGCGCCATCTATTAGAAGCAATATTTTTTTAGCATACCTCATAGTCGTCTCTTATTATACCCACGGTACTTTATCTAAAATATAGTACCGTGGGTATTATGTCTTCATCAAAGGAAGATATGTCTTGACGTCTCGCACACACACTATGTGAATACTAAGCACAATATACATAATATTAATAAATAATTAATAATTAACAATAGTAGTAGTAGTTCAAACTTTGAAGACAGCTTAAGATTTAGCCTGCGTTAGTTTTACCTAGACTGTTCTGGGTAAAACTAACGTTAATTTTCTTTAACATTTTTTCTTTTTACTCGAATTAACCGATATAGCCCAAGCATCAGTAAGTTGAAGTGGCAATGGGGTCGGTAGCTTGAAGCAAGGCCGTAAAGTGGTATATTCATATAGGCGAGCGAAGTGTAGGGTGGCCCCTTATTAGATGAAGTTGTAAGAGATGCAAAAAGTCATTAATAATTAAAATATTTTTTTTATGCTGAGATGAAAGTGACACTTTAGAATGATACCTTAAACACAATAAAATATTAAATAAAGTTAGTTAGAGATATTTGAAAAAAAATCTTTAATGTTATTTGTTTGTGTGTTAGGTTTTACAGAATTTATTATAAAAGACTCACCCTTGCTTCGTTAAAATACCATTTCCTAATTTCTCAGTATTTCCTCTACAAGTATCCAGGGTAAGTTGTGTTTTAGTCGAGCATTTTCGACCCACGAGATGGTCAAAAAGTATTGAAGCAGCAAACAGTTTCCACGAACGGTTATGATTACATATATTTGTGACACAACCTGGTTGTGATACCCCTCCGTTAGGATAAAAGTCAGCCGTAGCTACAGGTTCTATTAAACCATATTTACCACCATCAGTATGAATAGCTTCAACATAAATTGCATCAGTCTCTCGCAAGCGTTGACTGTTTATATTCCATAAGGGTCCAGCAGGATCTAAGCCTAAATTTATTGTATATTAATTAAGTGAACTCAATAATTAAAATATAATGTGATCAAATTGTCTTTATTAAAAATATGAAAATCACCTGTTATGCGGGCGACCTGACCATGGAGTGTTCTGCCTGCGTTTCCAACTACATGAGCTCCCAAGCTATGGCCCACTAAGTGCATAGTCTTAAAAGAAGTGCCAGTCACAAGACTCAAAAAAGCCAAGAACTGCCCCAAACGCTGACCTACACGTGGCACTCCAATCACAGCAGTAGCGTAATCCTTATCAGCAATGACGCTCCAGTCCAAAACTATGACATTGTGATCGGCGTTTGCAAGCAATGCTAAAAGTATGAATCTTTTATCAGAGATGAATAGACAAAATACAATTTATAGTATCTCAGTTATATTTTATATGAATTAGGGTAACGAATCAGTACACAGTTCACCATATGGTAAGTAAAGGTTTACGGTTCTTTCTCTTACCCTACGAAACACACGAGCGTTATTGCTATTTTACGCCTATATTCTGATATAGAAAGTTGTTCTTCCCCAATCGCCAACCAATTCGTGCTGCAGCCATAGCATCACTGCAGCGTAAATGTGTCATTCGTTGACGGCCGTAAAACTTCATCGCGAGAGTGTCGAAAAACTCTGCATATGTCAGAGTAATATTTGAAATAGACCTAAAATATCCGGACCGGTGACGGTAAGGTGCATCTTAGATGCATAGATCATTACTTGCTACCATTTGAGATGTAGCGAAGCACTGGCTTATTCTTGGCTAATGTGATAGAACATTCGCCTGTTCATTTATAGGTGCTGCGATGAAATCCTGCAAAATCAAAAAAGCCTACGTCCAACATTATAATATTTACAAGCTAACGAAGAGGATAAATAACGAAGATCATGTCTTAAAATAATTTACTTGTGTTTTTGTTAGAACTTTTGGTTCCAGCTATTGAGCGTAAGAACCGCAATATAGTTGCCATTTACACTGACTAATGGGCCGTAGCTCGTCAAAAGTTTTTTTTTAAATTTTTGTATGCATTAGAAATATCCCATATATTATGAAGGCATTTATTTTATATTTTTTTTTATACACTTTGTACTTTTCCGTGCTAGACGCAATCCTGCGGCCCAAAGCGCCTCATATACTCGTAAGTACTTAGCCGATGCGCTGCTGAGCTGAATTGAAGGAATAATTTATAGAAATAATTTAATCTTGGTGTCCATATCTGTGCATGCACTTAATTAATTATATTAGTATCTAATCTAACGGCTTCGCCTAAACTCGACGACTCCGTGGCGCAGTGGCTTAGCAATGAGTTGCAACGCTGAGGACCGTGGACTTCAATCCCGCACGGAGCAAGTATTCGTATAGCCTACAAATAATTCTACAGATAGTTCAGGTTCTGGGTGTTCATCCTTGTGAAATTTATGTATTTAAACTGCCCCCAAGATACAGGTGAAATTGTTAGTGTGGAAATAAGTTTTTTCAAAAAAAGAAAGAAATCTAAATGAAAATTAATCGAAAATTAATAAAAGCAAACAAAGAATGTTTGAGAATATAAAATTTTCAAAATTTTATTGCAATTGCATACATTACTTGTCACGTCCTGTTTTGTATCTCCTAATAATGGGCAGTCCGCCCTATCCTCAACGACTCTCAGTAAAGCTCTAAGGAAAATAAAATAATTTTATTTTATATTACCGTTCCGTAATGCCATATTTATAGGAGAGCTGCGCTTTCCAGTCCAACCGTGAACAATTACAGCTGTAGGGTTAATTACATTAAAGTGTGAACCATTAATAGATTGTACATCATTCATTTTGAGGGTATCAGGAGACAAAATGTTACGTCTGAAATAGAGCAAAAGGAAGAACAATAGTTAATAATAGTTAAAAGTATAAATAACTAACTAAATAATAGGTCGTTACTTAATAAATTGCCGTTGGGCAATACTGGCAATTTCAAATCAAAATAATTTTTGATTGGCTAAGAATTCTAATTTGAAATTAATTTTATTTTAAAAACATGGAATTGTTTTTCAAAATTAGATTTTTTTTATTTATTTTAATATATATTATCATATTTTAATATTTTTCGTCATCACGGGCAGGTTAAAAATTCGATTAATTATGGAATAGGAGTATATGAGGCAGCAAACTGCCACAAGCGGCACGCAACATCAACAACGTTTACAGCGCGAATACTACAAACGAACGCACCACCTGTTATTAGTTTGCACGCTTCTTTTCTGGAAATTTCCTTCGAAAAATGAACCCCGTGGTCGTCCGAAAACTTTGGTTGACAATGACGAATTGACAATGAGACAATGGTGATTGTGGAAGCTGATGATACTCAATCTACGAGTGAATCAGCAGCAGATTTCGACGTTAGCATCAATACAATATTAGTCTATTTGCGTCAATTTGGCAAGAAAAAAAAGCTTCAGAAATGGCTGCTTCACGAATTCAATGATCGCCAGCGCGAAGTACGCCGAAGAGATGTACCTTGCACTGCTCAACAGGCACACAAATGAAGCAATACTGAACTGCATTGTTACCTGCGACAAAAAATGGCTTCTGCTTGACAATCGGAAGCGTTCAGCAAGTTGGTTGATTGATTCAGCACCTAAACATATTTCTACGTGGTAGAGCCATGCTGCAGCTATAATATGGTTGTAGAATGAATGGGTCGGCTTGAACGAGGAAGGACCACGCTCTCACAGAAAACCAGCGTAAAATAGCAGCTTAACGCTGCTGTATTTCGTATGGTGAGTGTAGAGAACCGGAGACCCTTTTTACTGGCAAAGATGCATTCCATCTTAGTCCTCACGGGTGACAACGCATCTGCATCTTGAGTCTTTATTGAGGATAGATGTAGATGTCTATGGGTCACAGTAACCACTTACCATCAGGTGGAGTGTGTGCTCGTTTGTCACCCGATCCTATAAAAAAAAACAATGTTCTAAATGAAAACTTACCAAACGGCTTCTATCCCAGCTTCTCACCAAAAGGGATAAGCATTATTGTAGATTTATACTGTGACGAACTGAACACAATGATGGAGAAGTTCGCACGTCTCCAACCAGCTTTAGTCAATCGCTCGGAGACTTTAATATCAATCTCCTAGAAGCTTCCTCAATCAATATTAAATTAAGATCATTGTTTAAATCATATGGTCTTTTTAATTTATTTTTAGAGCCAACGCGTATTGCTCAATCTAAATGCAAAGCCGTTGCATAAATGTATAATTCAAAAATTAAGTTCTGATCACCGTGGATAAGTAGTTTCGTTACCTTATGTTCACAAAAAGCAAGTAGATGAGAAAGTTGTGTCTGTTCCAGTAAATGCACGTCGCTTGGAGAAATTTAGAAGTAACATAGTGAAAAAACTTCCATCACTTTCATACCAAAATGATCCAAATTTTTTGTATGGAACATTATTTAAGCTTATTTGCAATGAATTTAATAATACTTTTACTTCTAAAACATTCTCCTTAAACAGTCGGAAGTCCTTTAATGAATGGGCGACAGTAGGAATCCATAAGAGCAGACATAGGTTATATGATCTTTACCATGAAAGGTCATATAATCATAGCGTCGAATTTAGGGAATATGTAAAAAAATATTCAAAAACATTTAAAAGAGTGTGCTCCACAGCCAAGTCTCTGCATTTGAGCAATAAAATTAAGACGGCTTCTAATAAAATTAAAATGACATTGAGCATAATTAATAGCGAAACTGGTAAGATCAACTCTCGCAATTCAAACTACCAGTTAATTGTTAGTAACAAATTAACCGAATCAGATCAGGACGTTGCAATGGTTTTTGAGAAATATTTTACTGATATTCCGATATTAACCACTAAGTCACTGAATTCTTCTCCTGCCGTCACTGAATCATTACTTAAACAAAATATAAATGCGTGTACAAAGAATTTCACATTTCATAAAGTATCATCGAAAGATATTGTAAAATATTTTAAAACTATTGATGTTAAGAAAACTACGGATCTGTGGGGGATTTCCGTTAAAGTTATTGCGTCTATAATAGATACAATCGCGCCTCATATAGCTATTATTTTAATACTAGTATCGAATCTGGTGTGTTTCCTGATTTAATGAAGTATAGTAAAGTAATACCTTTATTTAAATCTGGTAGTACATTAGACCCCGCCAATTTAAGACCTATTTCTGTACTACCAGTACTTAGTAAGATTTTTGAAAAAAATATTCTTGATCAAATGTTAAATTTCTTTAATATAAATAATTACATCATTATCATCATCAATTACTAATAATTTATTTCATAAAAATCAATTTGGTTTCACAAGGGGTCGCTCGAAAACTGATGCCGGTGTTGAATTGATTAAATATATCTTTAATGCATGGGAGAATTCACTGGATGCTTTGGGTATATTTTGTGACCTATCCAAAGCCTTCGATTGTATTCACCATGAAACATTAATCAGGAAACTTCAAAACTACGATGTAAGAATTGATGGCCTTAAATTAACTATTTCATATTTAAGTAAGAAAACGCAAAAATTTGTCATTAACAGTATGAGTTCTTCCGGGTCGATGGTACAAATAGGCATGCCTCAAGGTTCAATTCTCGGCCCCTTTCTGTTTCTTGTATACATTAATGATTTACATAGTGGGAGATAACCATGATATAGTATTATTTGCAGATGGCACTTCTTTAATTTTCTTCAAATTATGTCGACAATTGCTAAAATATCACGAAGTGAATAATGCTATATCTAAATTAGTAAATTGGTTCAATGTTAATAATTTGCATTTAAAAGACACTAAAACGACATGTATGAAATTTATGACGTCAAATGTCAAGCAATTAAATACTAATGTAATTTTAAATGGGGAGAAACTGAGTCTTGTAGATACCACCATTTTTCTTGGAATCACACTAGACGCGAAGCTTCAATATGGGGGCTCCCCCATATATCAAAACTAGCAAGCAGACTTAGTTAAGATTAGAAGTCTAACAAGTGTTGAAACAGCTAGACTAGTTTACTTTAGCTATTTCCATACTATACTTTTGTATAGTATTTTGCTACGGGGACACGTGACTGATACTGAAATTATATTTGTTTTGCAGAAGAGGGCCATAAGAGCAATTTATGATTTAAAGCTTAAAGAGTCGCTGCGACAAAAATTTAAGGAAATTAATATATTAACTTTGGCCTCTCAATACATTTATGAAAATGTAATGTACGTACACAAAAATAAAAGTAGTTTTACAAAAATAAGTGATATTCATTCTGTAAATACTGGGAACAGACACAAGCTAGTAGTACCGGTTACTCGACTCCATCGAGTCAGTAATTCATTCTTGGGGCGATGTATACGCTTTTACAACAAAATTCCAGAAAATATACAAAATATGACCTGCTCAAAGTTCAAAAACTTTATTAAACTAAGTAAAAAGGGTTATTATAATATTAAAGAATTTATAGATGATAATAACCCCTGGAAATGAGGTGATCGCTACCAAGCTATTTCCAATTTGTTGTGTTGTTATTTTGTGTAATATACATGATTGTAAGCTGTTATTTAAAAAAAAAAGTCCCGCTGGGTTTTTTTTTTTTTTTTTTTTTATAGGAGAGGGGGCAAACGAGCATGCGGCTCACCTGATGGTAAGTGACTACCGCCGCCCACGAACAACCGCAACACCAGGGGAATTGCAGATGCGTTGCCGGCCTTTTAAAAAGGAGTAGGCTCTTTTCTTGAAGGTCCCTAAGTCGTATCGGTCCGGAAAAATCGCTGATGGTAATCGATTCCACAAAGAAGTCGTGCGAGGAAGAAAACATCTTCTAAATCGCACAGTGGTGGACCGCCAATCATCCAGATGGTGTGGATGGTATCGGGAGTTCTGCCGCGATGTGCGTTCATGAAATTTGGCGGCTGGGATTAATCCGAACAATTCCTCAGAGCACTCCCCATGGTAGATGCGAAAGAAAATGCAAAGAGATGCAACATCTCTTCGCAGTGCCAATGAATCGAGCCGATCGGAAAGGGCTCGGTCTTCGACGATTCGAGCCGCTCTGCGCTGGATGCGGTCAAGTGGAAGGAGCTGGCACTGGGGAGCCCCTGCCCAGAGATGGGAACAGTATTCCATGTGAGGCCGAACCTGCGCCTTGTAAAGTTGCAGGCGGTGTGCCGGCATGAAATACTGTCCCGCTCTGCTGAGCACGCCAAGCTTTTTAGAGGCCAATTTGGCCTTCTCTTCCAAGTGACCACGAAACTGCACGTCACTCGATATGTCGACTCCGAGGATACCGATACTGGCTGAGGCAAGAAGGGGAGTGCCTTGAAACTGAGGAGATACGACAAAGGGGTTCTTTTTAGCGGTAAACGCGCAAACTTGTGTCTTCTGAGGATTAAACTGGACTAGATTTAGTCGCCCCCAATCCGAGACTTTGTCCAGCAAAGACTCGACTTCAGACACAAGTTTGTTCCGGAACTCGGTGACGTTTTCCCGAGAAATATTGGCCCGGCCGGTGTATAGAGCATCACCAGTGCTGTCATCCGCATAGCAATGAATGTTACCAGTTAGCAACATATCATTGATATGCAGAAGAAACAGCGTTGGTGATAGCACACAGCCTTGTGGAACACCAGCGTTAATAGGCTTGTAGTCAGAACATGCACCGTCTACAACGACCTTGATGCTCCGATCTGCAAGGAAGCTGGTGATCCAATTGCACAATTTCTCGGGAAGCCCATAGGAAGGGAGCTTCGAAAGAAGCGCTTTGTGCCAAACCCGATCGAAGGCCTTCGCAATGTCCAGACTAACGGCCAACGCCTCCCCCTTGGACTCTACTGCCTCCGCCCATCTATGGGTCAGGTAGACTAGAAGATCACCAGCTGATCGACCCCGACGAAAACCGTATTGGCGGTCACTGATCAGCTGGTGATCCTCAAGGTACCGGATGAGCTGGCAGTTAATAATGGATTCCATTATTTTGGAGAACAAGGAGGTGATCGCGATAGGCCTATAGTTGGACGGGTCTGAGCGGTCGCCTTTTTTAGGGATCGGGTGGACAAAAGCTGTCTTCCATGAGTTCGGGACAACGCCATGGGAGTAGGAGTACCGGAAAAGACGCGTTAGAACCGGTGCCAACTCCGGAGCACACGTCCTCAGCACAATTGGGGGGATTCCGTCAGGCCCACTCGACTTGTGGATGTCAAGGGAGAGGAGTGCCCTGCGAACCGAGCGCTGTGAGAATAGCACATCCGGCATAGAGCACTCACACCGCGGAATGGTCGGCGGTGTGTTCCCCCCGTCATCAACAGTCGAGTTGGACGCAAAAAGGGAGCCTAAAAGGTCGGCCTTCTCTTTTGCGTCATGGGCCAGTGAGTCGTCCTCCCTGTGCAGAGATGGTAGTGATGGCTTACAGAAATTCCCTTGGACAGCCTTGGCGAGAGACCAGAATGCACGGGTTCCCGAAGGAAGGCGAACTAGTTTCTCGCCAATTCTGCCTATGTGCTCTGATTTTGCTGGTTCTTCCCAGGACAGAGGCTTTTTTTCGAACCAGTGGTAATCAAACAAAAGAGTGACTTTCAATAAGTATTATTTATAATCTATATTGAATAAAAATGTTTCTGTTTCTGTTTTTGTTTCTGTTTCTCCTCGTCCCCGCTGGTCCTGCACGACAACGCGCGACTTCATACTACACAACAAACTGTCTCCAAGTTTCAAGAGCTGGGGTTGGAAGCTCTCTGTCATCCGTCGTACTCACATGACTTTGCGCCTGCAGACTTACACTTTTTGCAGAATTTGGATAACTTTTTGGCGGGAATAAAATTCAATACCCGAGAGGCAGTACAGAATGCCTTCGAAGAATTTGTTGCCTCCCGTCCAGCTCATTTATTCAATGAGGGCATCAATGAAATACAACTACGTTGGAAAAGATGCATCGATTGCATGGGTGATTACTTTGATTAATAGAAATAAAATAGGTGCAAAACATTACGTTAACTTATTTCATGAAAAACGGCAATTTCATAGGTAAAGACCTAATAGTTACGAGATGGCAGCACTCCTTATCTAAGAGTTCATTTTGATAGGTACCACACCCTATTATCTATTTATCTCACCTGTTACCTATTTCTGTCACCAAGCAGCAGCGCATGCACTGTTGTGTTCCGTTCTAAATTGCCACTACAATTTCAGGCATTTCATCTTAATTCTCAGATGTGAGAACGCTTAATTAGACTTCTTTATTTGAAATTTTACGTAGGTATACATGGGCTTACTATAGCCACTTACTCTCAGATGGACTGTATGCTGCACATTTGAATAAAACTAGTTTTTACGGATTTTATCGCGTATATTAACTTATTTTATATTCTTACTTTACTGCATCCATGGTCACGGCAGGGACTGAGGTGCTTGATGTCTCAATGTCATAGTTAACCACGGCTATCTCCAAATTAATTTCGGGAATTGGAATAAGTTAATATCCGCGATTAAATTCGTAAAAACTAGTTTTATTCAAATATGGTTCGACTTGTTTTTAGTTATATTTTACACCCAGAAGCGGTATTCCGGTTAAAACTATTATTGCCCAACGAAAGCAGTTAAAAGCATTTTCATTTATTCATTCATTCATAACATCCTGTCAAAGTCCACTGCTGAACATAAGTCTTTCAATAGAGTGCCTCATAAGGGGGATATGCCATAGTTGCCACACCTAGCTGGCAGGTCTCCAACTTCAGTTTTTTCTAGTTGTCATTTGGAAGACGCTGCTGTCCATCACCTGGGTTCCCTCTGTAACCTCTTACGACAACCGCGGGATGATATGGGGTAGTTGATATTCTTTCATCGCCACTACACCGTTGTAACAGTAAGTGAAGTGTGGGACAACCCACCACTAGATGGTCTGACAAACTGGTAAGACATGCAAGATGCAGATGGATGCAGGTGGCTCAGGAAGATTAATTTTTGGGATTCCTTGTGGCAGGTTTAAGCGCAGCTGTGATCTTATAAATTGTTGTCATGATGATGATGATGAACATGACAGAAATGGTGATAGTTATATTTTTTTAAATCACTTCTTTATCAGAAAACCCAATTTTAGGACAAACCAGTTTTTCTTAGTCTAAACTAATTTTCCCTTAATTCGACGACATCATCTTTTGCACCTGACCTGTTATTGGAGGATTTGCCTATTTGGCAAATCCTCCAAAATTTGAAAACAGTAGTGTACAACCAACTCTAGTTTTGAAATTTAAATTATAAAGGAGACTGATACGCTTTCATACATTCTTGGGCCCAGATTGTAAAAAGATAAATGTGGTGTCAATGAATAGCTTATATATTATCAAAACATCACTGAAAGTTCTGCGGACTTTGGCAATCTGAGAGCAGAAATATAAGAGATTTAGTAAAAGTGAAGTTATGCAACAAGTTGGCAACAACCTATACTAAACAGCTGGTTTTTGAAGTGCGATTGCTATTTTCGAAGGATCGTGGGGCTAATGTATTACAGCGACTAGTCGTTATGCCACAATTCACACAGCGATGCATTGAGTCAATATCTAATCGATAAAATCCAGGCCGTAAAATCAACAATAACGAGCCAAAGTCAAACGAGTAAACAAGATTATCGGTGTTCGGTATGTTAGCAAGGATCGTACAAGTTAAGTAAGATCAGAAGTCCGTAGAAAAAAAGCAGTGGTCGAGCAATATAAATCAATAAAACAACTGGAAACACTTAAAACACACACGTATTATTATATATACTTACTTAATTGAATGAAATGAAACTTACATCTGATGTAAGTTGTTTTTATGTTTAATTGTTAAAACTCGAATCGATTTCCTATTTTATTCGTGACATAAACTTATTTTCAAGATTTCTCGTCTTCCAGATTGTGGATTGGGCAAATTTTTTTATATTTTGCAATAGAAAAATACAACGCTTGTTTTAAACCATATTTCAACGTATTACAATTGGGCCCAAAACTCCCCGTCTCCTTTTGTGTTTAAATAAAACAAGCGAAAACTAAATATAAATTGTTAATGCTAAATGGGTACCCACGATACAGGATTACCTAGTGTGTGTACCAGCGGATACTTCAATGAGTTGTAGTGGTTTTCTGTGAAATAAACATTTTTCATTTCATTCAGCACGCATCGTCAGAAATGACACGAGACGTGGTCTTTCACTGCAGCTGGTCGTGCAAGGAACATTAAAGTCGCTCAGCGATCTATGGAGAGGGCTACGCTCGGACTTTTCTGCGTAACAGAATCCGTAACCTCGTACTTGAGTGGCGCTAGATGGGGTGACGACATGCAAATGGATGGATGCAAGTGGCTCAGGACCATGTTTTGGAGGATCATTTGTAGTTGGCCTATGTTTAGCAGTGGACTATGATGAATTCAAGACAGTAATGATAATGAATTTTCAAAATATCTAAATTAATTTTACATCATAAACAAGACTTAAATGTTCTGTAATTAATTTATTAAGTAACTGTTCGGTACATACGTGAACGTACTATCATAACGTTATCTACAAATAAAATTCATTCATTTATTACAGCCTATCAAAGTTCATTGCTGAACATAGGCCTTCCTATAGAATAGCTTCTGTACCTATAAGGGGGATAATTGACATAGCTGCCACGCCTGCCATTAGATTAGTTATATTTTTACATTTGCATTTACATTAAGTAGATTAGTTATTATTAGAAATACGCTGCCACTCATCTCCTGATTTGTTTTTCTCTATCACCTCTTACGACACCCAGTGTACAATACGGAGTAGTGGATATTCTTACTAAACTAAAATATATGTAACCTATTATTACTTACCGTGTATATAATAAATATTTATTCGTAGAATGATTAATATTGTTTAGCAATAATTTAAATGCACGACTTATTTTTGCCTCAATATCAATCTTATGTACAACCCCTTCGTCATCAGGAAATTCTATGAAACGCGATGTATTTTTTTCCTTCCCGTTAAGCAAAGTTACTGTATTTGCAAATGCTGAAAAAGGAAATATTGTATTATTATAGGTGCACCATCCGGCTGCCAGCCCTGAATACCGATGAAGCTCTAAAAGCCCGACAGGCCAAAGACCACCGAAAAACGGCAACTCTGTGAAATAATGTTACATGTTACAAGTAGAAACCAGAAATTAAAAATAATGTAATATATTGTACAAATATAAATAATAAGAATTCTTTATTGAAGTAAGGAAACAAAACAAACGAGCAACAGTTTGTGTGAATGCAAGTGGACGCTGTAGCCTATAAACATCCTCTAGGGGATGCGTTGTCACTTCAGAGGACTTTTCCAAATATCTCTTCAACAGCAGAAAGGTTATTCGATTCTCATCACTCACTACACGAAACACAGCAGCATTATGCTATTTTACGCTGGTATACTGTGTGTGTTCTTTAATTTTACACATAATACAAACAAAACTCTCACGTCTGTAAACCAAAAAGGTAGGCAGAGACTACAGACTTTTATTAGGCGCGACACACCTCTCTCCTTTCGTTTTCTTGTACCATCGGTGAGGATGCTGTTAATTTGGCCCATATTCTAAACGTTTATATACACCGATAATTCATTTGTTGACACAATCATTAATAAATTACTACACTTACAACTTCCTACTTACACTTGTATGTATATGACGGCACCTGCACCGTTGTAGATGCGGTGGCGTCGGTCTAGCAAGACAGAATTCTTGTAAACGACACGTGTACCGCACACCTGCGGCATCGCACCTGCGTTACCGCCCGTCCTGCTTGTATAAAACGGACTGAGCGGCTGCCGTTAAGACAGTCTTGGCTCTGACTGTGACATGGAACGGTGCGCTTGTCGTATTCCGTTACTAGTTTATCCTCGACTCTTTGGATAATTAATTCGTGTAAACGAATTAATTATTATTCCTAACTACAAAATCAGTCTCTATACTTCCTACCCATTATACTTCCTACATATACTTATTTGGTTTTCTATTTTCACACATTTTATTTACACAAATAAAATTACTACTAGTAACTCTTTTATGGGTAAGTAAACTTAATATGGCCTATCTTCAATATATCACCTAAACGTAGTGATTATATTCTCTTTGATATCACCATTTTCATTACAAAAACTTTCATTTAGGTCGTCCATGAAGTTCATAGACAACGATAATTGGGTTCTTGACAACCATCATTAATAAATTATTACTGTGATATAATCTTTATTTCCTGCTTGCACTAGTATCTCTATTTTTTATTTTAAGTCACACTTTTATTTTTAAAAAGTACTGTGAGAAATAAGAATTACTGTGACCTCGTTTACCCATATTTCCATAGAATTTCTGTAGAAAACATTCGTATTGAGACAGTTCATAAAAAGAGTTTTAATTTATATAAATGTTATCTGTCCTGTTATGTTAATAACACCAGCGAAATGTATAGTTATAGCAATGCAAGCTGCGCCAGTAATTATTTATTTTTATTTTATGGATTTGAATTTTTTGACTCCTTTTGATTCGATCTCTGCATAACTTTGATTGAATTGGCTCTATTTTGTCGGGGCACCCTATCAGTTTTATATTATGGCACGCCTGATTGGCGTTCCATAATATAAAACTAACTAACTTGCCACTTTAGCTAACTTATCATATTATATCGATAGCTCGGTTACGACTAAAAATACCTTTATGTTATGCCACAAATATTAATACAGTTGTAATATACTTTTTTTATTGAATAAGGGTGACAAACGAGCCCACGTGATGGTAATTTTTTGCTGTGGTCCATAGATATCTACATCAATCTTCGTTTGCGAATTAAAATGCAGATGCGTTGTCAGCCGTGAGGACTAAGATAGAATGCCTCTTTTTCAGTAAAAAGAGTCTCATACTTTATGATTTATGCTTAAGTAATGATAGTACCTCGAGTACTATCATTACTTTTTAATATGAGTTTAGTTTTTGTTACATTTCGGTCGTATAGAAGTTCGAAATCTGTTGTATTAGTTAAGCAATTTGTCCTCGCTCCGCATTTTGCTGTCCGCTTCGACGCGAACTTTTCTCATCTAAACTGTTCGTTGAGACACGTTCAATCTTCTTGAAAACTTTTTGGAAATACCTAAACACAATCCTGTAGCCAATTAAATGTCAAAAATGAAAAAAATGCAATATTTTTATTTATATATGAATATGGCATGTTACTGGTATTTTTCGTGGTGGCACTACTCCGAAGGCGTGAAGCACATGTTTTGTTCTTGAAGAAACGTGACTCCATTGAATAATTACAGACCAATTTTCCTTCGGAGCCGCGTCTACATGCTATTATTGAGAGTCATTAAAAAGCGTCTTGCACCAAGCCGTGACGAATTTCAGCCTCCCTAACTAGCCGGTCTCGAAAAATATATCATATATATACTCTTCGACAAATTGTACAGAAGACCGAAGAGTACGATATGTCACCTTGTCTTACGTATGCGGACTATGAGAAAGCCTTTGGTAAGGTTAAATTTCAAATATCAGTAATGGTAAATTAAAGTTTGGTGCATATAAAAGCTAATTATTAGTATTTTTACAATAGGGTTCCAGTACAAAATCAGAGTACAAACCTATCCCACTGCAGAAAGGTGTAAGACAGGGTAACATTATACGCTATTGTAAATCATTTTTTCTTCTTGTACTTTTTCTTCTTTAATATTTTATTTTTCTTCTTATTATTTTTATTAAAATTAAATATGTCCCTTTGTTACTCAGGGATAATAATATTGTTATTAAGAAATTAATGAATGATGAAAATCTTTTCAATAATTCCAAATATACAACCAACATACACTGCAGGATTAATTGAAGAATTCTTTGTTTGGGATCGTAAAGATCGATTTAAACAATGAATCCATCCAGTAAATCGATCTCAGATACCCTAAAATCGACTTTCGATTCATTTACATACTTTCTTGTTTTATTCTAATAAAACAAAAGAGTACTAAACCGTAATATAAAGATACTTGGAATAAATGTTTAAAGAAATTTCAACGACGGAAACAAGGAAAACCAGTTGCAGGTTATCCAAATATATATTCCACCAATGCAATAAGGTCGAATTTATTCCGTCCATCCAATGATCGATGAGTTTTTTTTTTTATTTGCTATTGCTATTAGTCAAAGTTCGAGACCTTATCTTTCCAACATTTATGAACTTTTAATTGTGAATTGTGTGGCTTTTACAAAGAAGCCCAAACGTTGACACATTTGCAATTTTTAGAAAATGACGCTCATTGGGATCAAACTCTCAATCCTGCTGTAATTTCTTCACAAGCTCATCAAATACGAACATTGTGTTCTATAATTTACTATATCAATATGCTTTCCATCAAAACCAATTGATTTATGAATCAAATACAAAGATGACATGAGTGACGATATCTTGCATCAAATGCGCATTAGAACAGGAAATCGAAATTTACAAGTCAGTGAAGAAATTTACATTAAGGCGTTAATATCAATTGAAGAAATGTATCAGGACATCATCAAGTCAAACAAAGTATTATCTCAATTGAGCATAGCCGCGCCCAATCACCTGATGCACGACGCTTATAATTAAGAGTGCGAAAAAAAAACTGTACGATGTCGATGCTTTAATGGAATCAGTTTTTTTTATATAGGATAAGGATGACAATTCGATATTTCTAATAAATCTTCCACTATTGAACCAACACCAAAAGTATGTAGGTATTTGATACTCTTATAAAGTTATAAATTATGGAACTGGAGGGATTTACTTCTTGGACACTCCCGGTGATACAGGATTTGTTTTGCAACGATGTATATTGATAGTGTGGGATAAATGCATAATAGCACATAAAAAGTCTTTAGAGAGATTAGACCGAACCATGTAAGGTCTGCGGAACAGTCAAAACTTATTGAGTGATGAGATTATTTTGTTAGCAGGAGATTTTCGTCAAACATTGCCAGTGTTTCCACAGTCAACGCCAGCTGATAAACTTAATGAATGATTGAAGTTCTCCATTTTGTGAAAACACATTAAGATACTAAATTTAATCTGGAATATTCGTGTTGGGTTGCAAAATAATCGATCTGGAGTAATAGTTTCAAAACAATTAATTGACGTAGGTAATGGCAAATTCCCTTTAGACGTTTTGACTGACTGTCTGAGATATACTATACATATACATTTCTTGACTATTTTTGTCAGGTTACGGAATCAAAAACCAAACTAATTGCTCAAAATTACAGAAATAACAGTACCTGTTAAACAAATCAGTTGATTCTGCTACTAACCAAGATTATTTCGGCAACTATCCATCCGAATTTTCAAACTCATTGGATTAGCCTGGGTTTTGCCACATAGTCTTCAATTAAAGGTCGGTTTGGTGATCATAATGTTGGGAAATATAAACCAACTGCGTATTTGTAACGGCACACGGCTAATGGTAAAAACATAAACAACTTGATAGAAGCAACCACTCTAAATGGAAAGTATAAAGGAGAAGACATTTTGATACCATGCATCTCAATGATTTGGACTGACATACCAAATGAATTTAAACGACTACAGTTTCCAGTGCATCTTGCTTTCACTATAACTATAAATCCGAGGGACAGTCATTGAATGTTTGCGGCATTAATCATGAAAACCCATGTTTCTCGCATAGACAATTGTAAGTTGCCTGTTCTCGTGTTGAAAAACGTTACTTTAATTGAGGCATTAAATCCTAGTCCTCACGGGTGACAACTCATCTGCATTTTGATTCGTTATCGAGGATAGATATAGATGTCTATGGGACGCAGCAACCACTTACCATCAGGTGGACTGTGTGCTCGTTTGTCACCCTTATCCTATAAATAAAAGTAAAATCTGCTATTTATCTTTGATAATTAAAGTCCTGATCATTAAGATCCTGTTTATTTACATACATCGTTTATATATACTCATGTGAGCTATGCAACCAGGACTGTCAGAAAAATCTTATCTGAAAATATGAAAGCTATC